TGTCCCGCTGTCTCACATGGAAAAAATAAAAAAACTAACTTAAAAAAAAAAAAAAAAAGATCGGGGCTAGCAGTTGGCACAGTGGCTATGTCACTGGCCTCTCACGTAGTCGACCACGGTTCGAGTCCCGGACCTGGTGGCTCAAACTCACACTGGGCGCGTGTGCGTACGTGCCTAAGATCCTGAGAAGAGAATGGAGGAAAAGGAATTGCAATGTGGCCATCCCCCCTGGGGGAAGATTTCTCACTTTCTGTCTCTCTGTCTCTCTCTGTCTTTCTGGCAAGCACACGCACCCTACAGCAAAAACCTCTCAAAAAAAAAAAAAAAGATGTTTACCAAGAATAAATAAGGAGTGAATGAGAAACAACCAGTGTCAGATAAAGGACTATACTTTTTTTCCCCAACATGTCGATATATAACTTATTATACTAATTAAGTATATTGTGTTGTTATTTCAAGTATAAAGATGGTAATAGTAGCATCATAATGGAAAATGGTTTTGCTTCTTCAGGATATCCTCCATAGCTCTATGCTGCCCTAGAAGTTGGTTAGTCTTATTTTGGGGTTGTTGTACCTTGACTGACATAAGTTCACTGGCCTAAAAGTTGTTTTAAGTTTCTTTCTTTTGTATGTAAAAGAGAAGTGCCCCCAACAGGGTCTTCATGCCCCAATCTCACCTCAGCCAGCCAGGATCATGAGCACATGTGTGCATCTTGACATGCACGGAAGACCTTGAGACGTGAACCTGGGACCTGTTCCTTTGGCCTCAGCATTTTGTAGCATTACATTCTTACTGCATAGCCACAGCAGGCCAGTGATGGCCTTTTATATAGTCAACCAAGGAGATCAGCTTTATGGTTGTTAAATTATTGTCCTTTCTTAGGCCCCTAAAATGTTTTATCAGTATGATATGTAAAAGTTTGTTATAAATAAAAGAATTAGTGAATATGTTCAGTTATGAGGAGAAAAACTTCAAACCTTGATTTTTTTTTTTTGAGAATGATTTTTTCATTTATTTTAATTTGACCAGAGAGAGAGAGAGAGGAAGGAAAGTGGGAAAACATGCCACTAGATCCAGGGCTCGAACCGCGGTCGGCCATGTGGGAGTGTCCAGCATCTTAACCACCATGCCACCTGCTGTTCCCTAGACCTTAGTGTTTAATAACTGTGTTTATTTATCTCTATGTCTACAGATGTCATTGCGACAGATAAAGAAGACGTTGCCTTCAAAGACCTGGATGTGGCCATTCTTGTGGGCTCCATGCCAAGAAGAGAAGGCATGGAGAGGAAAGATTTACTGAAAGCAAATGTGAAAATCTTCAAAAGCCAGGGAGCAGCATTGGACAAATATGCCAAGAAGTCAGTTAAGGTGACCAGCATTGAATTTCATGATGTTTTACATTATTAGCATTTAAAACTTCTGCTTTCAGCATTGAAGTGAAAACAGAATTGTTTGCCCTTTTTTCCAGTTCTAGACACTGGTCAGTAAATCAAAGTTTTGTTTGATAAGCTTTCCCTTTCTAAGTTATTGGAGTTTTTATTTTCTGAGGTTTTGTTTACTTGCTTTTTGACCAGAGAAAGAGAAATATTTTTGACAAGCTCTTACCATGTCACTATCCTCCAATCCCAGTCACCCAGTTAGCTAGAAATACAGATGCATCCAGCCTGTCTAGGTTGGGCCAGGAGCCAAACTCTGGTCTCCCATGCACCCTTAGCCACTATACAATGATGCCCTACTTTTACCACTATGGCTAGACCAGAGGTTTTTTATTTTGTGGTGTAGAAATTTATATTCAGAGTACTCAAAAATGTTTTGCCTACTACTGTGACATGGGACTCTGATATTCATTTTTTTTTTTAAATAAATCATCTATTTATTTGTATGGTCCAACCTGAACCATAGTCAACCATGTGGGGATTCAGTGCCTTAACCATCATGCCACCTGCTGGCCCCTTGATATTACTTCTTAAACCTAAAAAAGAAGGCAGATAACTTTCTGGTGTCCTTAACATACTTGTTCCTTGAAGAATCAGTTGGCATGACTTCTTTTTGTCTAAGCTATTTATTTTAGTTCCTAAATTTGTCTTGCTGTTAATATAAGTCACCTTTTACCAATGAACTGTCAGTTAACCAGAACTTAATTGTCTCAGAGGCTGGCAGGTGGTGTGGTAGTTAAAGGCGCTGGATTTCCACATGACTGACCATGATTCAAGTCCCAGACCTGGCAGCTTGCCTTCTCATTTTCTCTCTCTGTCTCCCTCTCTCTCTCCTTCTGTCCCTCTCTGGTCAAATTGAAATAAACAATGAATAAATAATTAAAGTTAAATAAAATAATTATTTATAAAAAAAAAAAAGAACTTAATTGTAACAGCAAAAAAGGCTTGTAGGCTAGAGGTTTAACTGATTTAAATACATCTCCTTTTCCTGACTTAATAAAAAAGGTAAAGAATATTCTATGAGATTTATTTTTTCTTTTTTTGGAGAGGTTTTTGCTACAGGGCACGTGCGCTTGCTAGACAGAGAGAGAGACAGAAAGCGAGAAATCGCCCCCCAGGGGGGATGGCCACACCACAATCCCTCCTCCATTCTCCTCTCAGGATCTTGGGCACACATGCCCGGCGTGAGGCTAAGCCACCGGGTCCGGGATGCGAACCACGGTCAACTACATGGGAGTCCAGCGACATAGCCATTACGCTAACTGCTGGTCCCTCTATGATA